TGTGTCTGCCGAGAACTAAAAAATAAATATTAAAAAATTCTCTCTCTCTCTCTCTCTCTCTCTTTAAAAAAAAAATAAAATAAAAATAAAATGTCCCATATGCCAACTTGAGAATAAACAGGTCTTTTCTGGGAAAAAAAAATACAATTCTATTATATATGGTGATTTCCAAAAAAGAGTAAATAAAAGCCTTTCCTAAAAAGGCAACATGCAATAATTTAAGRGTCAGAACTTGGTATAAATATGTGGGAATCAGTTTCATAACCCAGACACTGAAGACAGGAGAATAGAGAGGAGCAAAGGAAATCCAAATGAAGAGTTAGTGCTGATTTCAGAAACATCAATGCRACAGTGGCAGTGGCCCTGCAGTGAGTTCCCAGGGGTACTCTTAGGGAATCTCACAAACAGGTAGATGCATTAGTCAGGGACAGGAAGTGCATACCTGGGCCCAGTGCAGCATGTTCTGAACAGATGTTCCTGCGGGGCTCTGTGCCAAATAGACATCCAAGCGACTCTGTGAAGAGACAATTTCTCATCTAGAGGCTAATCATACCACAAGTGAACATTTGTGAGAAATTCTATAATTTCTTCTTTTTATTTTTGTTGTTGCTATTAATATTATCATTATTATCATTTAGGGGAAAAAAAAACATGTATCAAACCCTATTACCATATAACCAAAGAAGCCTGTTTAAGCACTTTCTCCTTCCCACAGCTGTTTCTTTGCTCTGGGTAATGACTTCATGTGGCTCACAGAGGAAATCCCACTGGTTGAAGACAGAGGTAAGGCACCTATTCTTTCCTGACTCCTCACATAGATCAAAGAGTATAGAAGGTCAAGGGATCAAAAACCTTAGCAACCTTCTCCTTCTCCCTGCTAAGTCCCAAAGTTCATTCAGAGAAAGCTTTGATCACAAAACACTAAGAATAGATATGAATGTTTCCTTTTGTTTGCTTGATTTAAAACAAAGTGTTAAATGTTTCATGAGGCTCTTTAAAAATTTGTAGGACAGAATTCATTCAATATATTTAGATTTCTTCTGGATCCAAACAACAACAAAACCCCACTATATTCTTTCATATTTTCAATTACATTTTTTATAAAATAAATGTTATTTTGAAAGAGTTATTTTTCTATCAAAGTGAGCACTAGAAACATCTTGGAGCTTTAAAAAATATATACACTTATTGATAAGCTATTCAAAACTACTGAATAAAAATCAAAATATCTAGAGTTTGGGACATGTTCATTTTTTCAAAATTCCATAAAGGTTACTTACTATGTACCCCTAGTTATGCTTCACTAAAACAAACWGCCTTGCAGATACTGTAATAATGCATAATCCAGTCCCTACAGTGAAAAAAAGGGTGATATGATTATTTGCAGAGACAACAAGAGCCTCCAATGAATAGACAAAAGTGTTTTTTGGTAAAGTCTTTCTTTATCAAATTCAACCAAGTTAAGAGGCTACTTTAAAAATCACTGTGTTTTGTGTTTATTTCTTTTTACTTAGCTTTGCCTACGTGTCTTCATCTACAGGAGATGTTCCCCGTGATAACCAAGCATAGTTTTCCTAGAAAATCCAGACACTAAAAGAGGAGTGTACAAAGGCAGTGGCTCAGTCATGCTTTGCGTAGAAATCCTTTTATGAAAGTCTTAACTGCAAGGAAAATTTTAATGATTCTGGCAGAGGACAGTCAGGCTCTGGGCTAAATCTCTGAGATAAACGGAGACCACCTATCTCTCTCTTCCTCCTCTGGTTTCAAACAGCTCCTCTCCAAGTGAGAAGTAAACTAACTTCCTGTCTTTCCCCCTTTTGCTCATCAAGTCAGTTAGTGATAACTGAGGAAAGGAATCTCAGTTGTTAGAAGTAACCTGACAAGAACCCCCAACACCAATTCCTCTCAGTTTCCCTTGAACACAAAAGCTGTACCTGTCATTGAAGAGCCATCCCTTTATTTCATTTGATTAATGAGTGTTCCACAAAATAATCATTTCTAAATCACCTTTGAATGTGGAAAATTGAAAAAAAAAAAGATGTCTAGAATCACTTCCTGAGATTTTACTTTACTTCAGTAGATCTGAGATGGAGCTCAGGAATAGCAAGCTAAACTTCAAAACCACAGCACTCGCCTAACTGAAGGACTTTTTATTTGTGACATTTTTTTAGCCAACACCAAGAGTTGGTGAGAAATTTTGGCAGCAAAGCCTTCTTCTCAAATCCTCCTATGAGAATGGGTAAGATTCCCAAACTTGGTTAGAAGCCATGAACATAAAAATTACATTCCAAGAGACAAAAAGGAGACCTTGAAATGTGGTTTCTATGTAACCCAGAGTAAACTCCCATCACCTTGGTGCAGTAAAACCATTGTTTTCTGAGACTTGACTACTTATACATACCATGTTTAGGTTTGGGGGATCAAATCCAGTTGCAGTGAACATGAAGTTGCTGCACATATGATGGAATATCTTCCGATTGCACATTTTGGTGGCAATAAATTGTTCCATCAATGTGTGAGGGGAGAACATTTTGTCACCAAACAGTGCCTATAAAACATGATCAAATTTCATGAATGTGGATGTCAAGAGTGGAAAATGAATGGCAATTCAAACAAGCACTGGACAGGAGGTGACATCAGTTCAGTGTTAATACTCAATGAAACCATGAGTTTTGTTAAATTATGTCTTTGTAGTCCTCCCAACTCACCTCTTGATGTTTTTTCCCCCCACAAATCTTTAATTGRGAAATATTTTGGCAGGCTCTCTGAAAGACCAGTTCCCATATAAAGTTGGTACAGCTTTGGAGTCAGGTATATCTATGTTTGATTCAGATTCTGTCTCTTATAATTTAGGAAAGTATTTTAGTTTTTATTATCCTKAATTTTTCAACTATAAAATGGGAAAACTTTTATCTATTAGGTAGAATCATCATAAAGATAACAGATAATGCTTAAAATACACCTTGTGTAGTTCCTAGCAGCAAACAATAGCTCTGTTATTATGATTAGTGACTGATACAAGTTAATGAGCCAATCCTTCCAGAGTCTCTTAATGCTTAAAATGCTTAAAATGATTTCTTCTAATTATATTTCAGGCAAAGTTGCGAGTGAGTTAAATGGACCTTATGAACTTCCTTCATATCCCTGTGCATATTAATACAATATTTGTTTTATAATATATAATTTTATAATCTTAGGGTAATAAAATAAGTATTTTGTGAAAAGACTTTTTTTAACCTCTTAGAACTTTTGGAAATACCATTTACAGAAAAACTGGCATTTCTTTCTCCTGAAACTCTTTACTAACTGGCAATTATAACTAAAAACCAGTAATAACTGGCATTCATTATTTTTTATTCCACTAATGTACTTCAAAATTTTATACTAYCTTTGGTAAACTGTATCCAATAAATTCTTACTAGGTATAACTTTAGCTTGTTGAATTCTGAGTTTGTAAATAGTTATATTGAGAGTTTGTGTTGAAGGATTGGAGGGAATTCTTATTTAATAGAATATTTGATATATTATGAAATTTTAATGTAAAATATAAAATACTAGGAACTAACTAATTTTTCTGTCCATATCAAAGAGAAAAAGAAGAAAGGAGAGASAGAAGGAGAGAAAGAAGGAAAGGAAGAAAGGAAGGAAGAAAAAGAGAAAGAAGAGGAAGAGGAAGAAAAAAGGTGAAGAAGGAGATGAAGGAGGAGGGAAGAAAAGGAAAAGAAGGCAAGAACTACAAAATATCACACCAGTTCATATTTCTTGATTCTTTAGGACTAGAAAATAATAAGAGATCACTGAAGATTTGATCAAATACACTTTGACTTTTTCTTCATTTTGTCATAATTACTAGGAATCTTGGATAACATGTTGTCATCTATTCAAATTTCTCAAGTTTAACAACTTAAATAAATAGCTACATGAGTTAAGAGCTGAACAAAAGGTAGGACCTAATTTTAATCATTGAACATTTTTATTTTTCATTTACCAATACTGTTTGCATGCTTTAAAAACTAGATGTGAAAAGAAATAGTCAATACATAAAAGTAATCAACCATGAAAATTTGATGTGAAAGGAAAAGGTTATATACCTTCCACAATGCACCCTAGGCGACTAACAGTTCTGGTAGTCAGCTTTCCCCAACACAGGGTTAATTAGCAGGATAGTCTCTGACTTGACTCTCCCCCTATGTATTTACCCAAGGACAAATAATTACTCCTTCACCCTAACCTAGAAGACAGGATTGCAATGCAGGCTAGTAAGACAGCACTTCCAAAGTGGCAAACATGCTAACTTGCAGGTGTAATTCCAATTTGATTCTGGAGGGGGCATGTTTGTCACATAATAGTAGGAAGACAGATGTCCTCTGGTGAGCATCAGAAAAGTCACCCTTTCTTCTGGAGACATGGTTCGACGCAAGGATACATGAATTGCCCAGCAGAACATGGACTGGATTCACCCTTGTGCATGGGAATATGAAGAACCAGGACTGACTTCTTCAATTTGGCATTGAAAAAGTGGAGAAACCATTACATATAAGCAAACACTGACCTTGAGCTGCCTGATCAGATCTGTGCTCAAGTTTTGGCAATTAGCCGGATGACTTGAGACCGATTGCTTAGCCTCACTGAGACTTAGGTTCTTATTTTTTGTTTTACTTTTTTTTTTTTTTTTGGTACTGGTGACTAAACTAAGGGGCACTCGACCACTGAGCCACATCCCCAACCCCATTTTGTATTTTATTTAGAGACAGGGTCTCACTGAGTTGCTTAGCACCTTGCTTTTTGCTGAGACTGGCTTTGAACATGTGATCCTCCTGCTTCAACCTCCTGAGAYGCTGGTATTACAGGYGTATGCCACCRTGCCTGTCTAGGTTCTTATTTTAAGAGATGAAGATAGTACTAAAACCCCTAATCAAAAAGAAAGATAAAGAGGAAAGGATCAAAGAAAGATATAAATAAAAAAATTTGGGAGACAACATCATAAAGGTATATATGCTTAGGGGCAGAATGAAGAGTGGAAAAAAGAGAAAGGGAAATGAACAGGATATTTGTAACACCAAGTACTCTGGCTTTGAATCTAACATAAGCTTGATTAATACAATTAATAACACCAAATAATAATTAGTAAGCACCAATTAATAAACCAGATATGATGCCTAAACATATATTATCTCAGTTGCTATCCCAACTTTACCCATTTTATAAATGTGAAAACTGAGGTTTAGAATGCTTAAATAACTTGTCCACTGTCATGAAGAGCAGGATGCAGAGGCAGAAGGTGAACAGATTCTTATGCCTGTGCCTTATGTGAGTTAAATTTAAGACAAACAGATGAACACTCAAAATTACTGACTGTATCAAAAGAAATACACTACTTAGAATATTCTTTAGCATATATCATATGTTTGCCACAAAACAAATCTCAGTTTATTCCTGAACTTTATTTTATTTGTAATTTCAAGGAAGAAATTACAAATAAAATTAAAAATTTTCTTGAAACAAAGAATAATGGAAGCACAACAAATCTAAACCTATGAGATAGAGCAAAACAAGYACTGAGGGGCAAGTTTATAGTAATCAATGCCTACATCAAAAGAGCAGGAAGATCTCAAGCGAACAAGCTATTTTTGCATCACAAGAAACTAGAAAAACAAGAGCAAACCAACTTCAAAATAATAAGAATCACAGACAGCAGGGCATGGTGGCACACACCTGTAATCACAGGGGCTTTGGAGGCGGAGGCAGGAGGATTGTGAGTTCAACCAGCCTCAGCAAAAGCAAGATGCTGAGCAACTCAGCAAGACCCTGTCTCTAAATGAAATACTAAATAGGGATGGTATGTGGCTCGGTGGTCAAGTGTTTGTGAGTTCAATCCCTGGTACCAAAATAATAAATAAATAAATAAAATAAAATCAATCAATCACAGGAGAAATAACTAAAATTGAAACTTTAAAAAGAATATAAAAGATCATTGAAATGATCAGGTTTTTCAAAAGCATAAACAAACTTGATGAATTTTCACTTAGACAAACTAAGAAAAAAGAGAAGACTCAAATARATAAAATCAGAGACAAGAAAGGAGCAACTGCCATTTCAACAGATACCACAGAAATATGAGGGTCATGTAAGATTATGATGAGCAAGTAAATGCCAACAGATTGACAACCTATAAGAAATGGACAAATTCTTAGACATATACCTTGCCAGGACTGAGCAGAGCAATAAAAAACAAAAAGACTCACTAATAAAATGTCTCCAAAGAAAAGTGCAGGACTAGATGCCTTTGCTTCTGAATTCTACCAAATATTTACAGAAGAACTAGTACAAATTCTTCTCAAATTATTCAAAAAAATGACATGGATGAAATTATTTCAGTCTCATTCTATGAAGCCAGAATTACCCTGATACCAACACCAGATAAGGAAATAACAAAGCCAGAAAGCTAAAGGCCAATTCCTTGATAAGCAGATGGAAAAACCTTTAACAAAATACTAGCAAACCAAACCTTACAGCACATGTAAAATGTTATTCGCCATGATGGATGGAACCCATCCCAGGATGCAAAGATGATTCACCATTATCCAAATTARTAAACATTATTTACCACATCAACCAAATGAAGACCAAAAACCATATGATCACCTCAATGGATAGAGCAAAAGCATTCAACAAATTCAACATCATGATAAAAACTTTGAACACATTAGGTATAAAAGGAATGTAGCTCAATGTAATAAGAACCACACGTTAAAAGACCACAGCTAACACCATACTGAATGAGGAAATGGAGAGCTTTCTCTCTAAGATCTGAAACAAGACAGGGATGTTTCCTGTCATCATTTTAATTCAATATGATAGTGTAATCAGTAAAAAAAAAAAGGCATCCAATTTGTAAGGACAAGTTTGAATTATCACTATTTGCAGATGATACAATCTTATACAAAAAAAAAAARASWYWCMMMAGAGTCCACCAAAAGTCTATTAGAAGTAATAAATGAATTTGACAAAGTTGTAGGATACATGGTTRACATGTAAAAACTAATATTGTTTCTACCTACAAGTAGAGAATTATCTAAAAAAGAAAAGAAAAAAAATAAGGTAATCCCATTTAGAATAGCTACAAAAATTAAAATGTCTTAGAATAAATTTAACCAAAGAGGTAAAAGATCTCTGCAATGAAAATGATGAGTCACTGAWGAAAACAAATTGAACAGGACACCAAAAAAATAGATATTTTGTGTTCATGRATTGGAAGAATCATATTGTTAATGTGTACATACTACTGAAAGAACTCTGCAGATTTAATGCAATCCTAATTAAAMTACCAATGACATTCTTCACAAAACTAGGAAACATTCTAAAGTTCATATAGAGATGCAAAGAAAACCAAAGCAATCTCAAGCAAAAGACTAAAACAAGAGGCATTACTCTACCAGACTTCAAAATGTAAAAGTATCTTAATCAAAACTGGATGGTATTGGTATGAAAAYAGACACATAGGCTGATGAAACAAAGTAAACAGCCTAGAAGTAAATCCACACATCCATAGCCAACTAATCTCAACAACTGTGCAAAGAACACTCATTAAGGAAAGGTTAGCTTCTTCAATAAATGGTGCTGTGAGAATTGGACGTCCACACATGGATGAGCGAAGCTAGACTCTATTTCTCACCATCTACAAACATCAATTCAAAATAGATTAAAGCTTAAATGCAAGAACTGAAACTCACAAAAGAAAGCACAGAGAAAATACTTTAGGACATTGGAATGTGCAAGGATTTTTTATATATTTGATACCCAAAAAGCACAGGAAAAAATAGACACTAGACATTGCGTCACACTAAGTAGCTTCTGCAYAGWGAAGGAAACAATCAACAGAGTGAGAAGACAACCTACACAACAAGAGAAATATTCTCAGATTTAATCTAACAAGAGATTAACATCCAGGACATGTAAAAAAATCAAGTCAATAGAATATAATCTAATTTTTAAAATAGGCAATATACATTTCTTAAAAGAAGATATGCAAATGGCCAACAGGTGTATGAAAAATTGCTCAACGTCACTGTCACTCATCTTCAGGGAAATGGAAATTAAAGCCACAATGAGTTATCACTTCACTCCACTTAGAATAACTATTACCAAAAGGACAACAGATAGCGAGTGCTAGTGAGGATTGGTGGGAATGTAAATCAGTACAGCCATTATGGAAGACAGTATAGAAGTTCCTCAAACCAACAACCAATCAATCAAATCAGCTCTCACTTTAGCTGTGATTGAGGGATGAGATGAGAGAGAAACTTCTAGACATAGATGAAGACACCAGGGTAGAATGGCATCAAAATGAGCTCCCTGAACCCTGCTAATAAAAGTATTCCTTATCAAKAAATTGACAAGACATCTATTATATTCTCAGATGTCTGTAAATTGTCATTTGTCTTCTTTTGAAATCAGTGGGACCCTATATATTATTTCAGACTTTTACTTGGGAAGTCACATACCTTGATGGTTCGCCTGGAAAGAGTTGTTAAATTTTTTATAGGACTTCGGGTGTACTTCACCGTGACAACTGGTGCCAGTGCAAAAAATATCTTAATTCGCTTAGCCAGTTCTGGGTTGGTAGAGAATGCAATGAAAGCTGAAAGTGAATTAGACACTAGTTCATAGGTTTAAAACAATTACTTCTTTATTTTAAGTGATAGTAAAGGTAGCCACAGGAAAACAAAACAAAACAAAAAAACAACTCAGAGTAATAACCATTTGTGAGGAGGCATTTCTAAGTTTCTCAAGGATGGGRATGACTGATTCAGAATCAAGTGAGTTCTTTCATCCCAGGTCTACTTATATAGAAGTGGAAGAGAGGGTTCACACTCCTCTGTGAAGTGTGGTTAAACCCAAGGATCATTCCAGCTTGACTGTGGTTTGGTGTCAGACAAAGTCAYGCTTGGCCTCACATTCACTAGCTGTGTGAAAGTCACCTCTCCAGTATGAGTCTCAGTTTACTCAATCTGTAAATTAGGATAATTGGATCCTTAGAGAATGATTCATATATATGAATACACAGATATGAATATATATAAATGGATAATTCAAATTTTATATATAAATCATCCTCTAAGGATTCTTAAATTATGTATATATCTTAAGGTATTACTTGGCATTGTCAACATGAAAAGATAGCAAGTACTAGTGAGGATTGGAAATTAGGGAAAAAAAATCTTAAATTCAACTATTTGTGCAATACAGATATTGGTCTCTGATGTTTGTAGTTTCCAATGAGAGAAACAGACAGAGAGAGGATGAGGTGCCTCATGGTTCTACCCACATGGCCCTACCCACATCCGGCCTACCTGTGCTTCCCTGGCAGGCAGGAGCCACATTGATTGTAAAGTACAATCACAATTTTGTAATTCTCTACTTTCTTTTTTGTGTCCTTTTCTAGACTGTGATCATCAAAGGAAGGATGGCTATCATATTTATCCCCTCTTCCCCAGTATGTAACCCAAATTCTCACAAATATTCATTGGATACATAATTGAATAAACAAAGTAATTCTCTCTTTCAGACCTATCAACCTCCAAAATTCAATGTTGGGAAAAAATTCCTTATTGTCATCCTTGTTTTCAGAAAACAGCCAGAGGATATTGTTTCCCTTTTAAAGTTCCCAAACTAGAGACTCTGCAGAGAGATACTGACCCTGTTCAGAAATATGGAAGAGCCCCCACTCCTTCCCGTATTCTCTGATCACATCGACCCCAAACACACCTATGGTGGTGCCCTGAGAGTGGCCCACATAGTAGAGTTGCTCTTGTCCAGTTTTCTCTATGATTAGATTGATTGTGGCTGGAAGGTCATATTTAGCCATTTCATCCAAACTGCCAAAAAAAAAAAAAAAAAAGAAGAACAATAAAATTGGAAAATCTATCTCGTTTTAGACCTGCAATATTTAACATTCATTTTAGACATAGATACTCTGCTTTTATAAAATATGAAACTAGAGTTAATATGTGATATTATGCATCTGAAAAACTTTTTCCAGGATCTTACTTTGATTTGACTAGACATTTTTAACAAACAGGAATCAGAGAAATTTAATYTGTAAAGGACTACTAAACTTTTCCTGTAAACCTAGTCCTATTTCATTTACTCTCACAGCAGATTTACCAAAAATCAAAAAAAAAAAAAAATGGAAAAGAAAAGACAACAATTTTTGGAATGCTCATCTAAAATTTAGAATAATAAATCAAACAGATTCATAGACCTTAGCCCAGACTGGACTGAATCCAATTCCCGGGAAGAGTCCTGGTGATGTGTCTCTTTGTGGCCTCAGGTGCTTCTTGATTCTGTGTACAGCTTGGGAAATACCCAACTAGGAAATCATCTTGTCACTTGCTATAGTGCAATGACAGAACCACCCTGTGATGTGGAATAAGGAAATGCCAACTGGTTTCCAAAAGGAAGGCAGGAATGAGGTAAGGAACAAGTGGCTTTGGTGACCTCCAAGGCATGGTTCTTAGCTCCTATGCAAGTGCATGGGTTTGTCCCTGTAAAGAAGCAGATCAGGCTTCTGAAGCAGACAGCACCCCAGGCACTGCTGCTGACAGCTCTCTCTTCTAACTGTTCTGTGATCAGGAGGCACCGGCCCTGGCATGCTGGCGTACACACACACACACACACACACACACACACACACACACACACACTCAAGGAAGGAAGAGGTGAGGATGAAAACCAAACAGCAATACAAAATAATAAGATTTATCCTTCTCATGGATTCTATTGGGCGCATTGAGACCAAAGGAAAAATCAACAAGTGTTCTTGCATATAAATGAGCAAGGTACACACTTTATTCATTAACACGTTTTCCCTTACCTAAACGCCCAGTATTCTGAGGACTTGGGTGACAATTTCAGATGCTTTCTGGACCAGGTGTTTCCTCGGCTGTTCCCCATCCATACATCATAACCATTATCTGCCAGAAGGAAAGCCAAGCTGTTGTTGGGGAGGTTACAGATCCAGTCAGTGGCAGATGCAATTAAGCCATGCTGCAAATACACAACTGGTTTTGGAGCTGCAAGACACAGGCGACAAGATGTTCATGTCCAAACTTCCTTAGTGTCTACATGAAAATTCTCTTTCCTAACTTTTTAAAGTATACAAGAGAGGTTAAGACCTGAAATTTGGTGTCAGGCAAACCTGGGATCTAGACTTTTCTTAACTATTTGCTGGGCAAGTGATTTATCTTCTCTATGTCTTATCATTTATAAAACCGAGATTATGTATAATGTTTTATGCTGGGTAGGTACTGGAGACAAATTGCCGTGGTTCAAAATCCATTTTGCCATGTATTAACCGCTTTGTGGATCACTTACCTTATCTGCATAATGGGTATAGCATTTTATTTCTCAAGAAATATTCAAAAACTTTAAGGTTTTCTTGAAATAATAAAATGACAATCAAAACACCATTTGCAGAATGTTTATTGAATGCTAGGCACCATGCAGATTCTATAGGCCATTTTTTTGGCAGGAGGTGAGTACCGGGGATTGAACTCAGGGGCACTCAACCACTGAGCCACATCCCCAGCTCTTTTTTGTATTTTATTTAGAGACAGGATCTCACTGAGTTGCTTAGCCCCTCACTGATGTTGGGGTTGGCTTTGAAAGCAGGATCCTCCTGCCTCAGCCTCCTAAACCCCTGGGATAAGAGGCGAGCAAAATGCAAGGCCATAAATAGAATTTCACACAATGTAAAATTGTTAACTGGATCCAAAAATACTATTTCCAAGGTAAAATTGAAACATTTTTAACTAAGAAAGAAAAAAGATGCCTGTGATCCCAGCTATTTAGATTGCAAGTCTGAGGCCAGCTTGGGCAACTCTGTGAGACCCTGTCTCAGAAAAAAAATGAAAAGGACTGACAATATAACTCACTGGTAGTGTCCCTGGGGTCATTCCTTGGTAGCACCAAAAAAAGGGAGAGAAAAGAAAGAAGAGGAGGAGGGTAAGGGGAGAGTGGTATTGAAAAAGAAAGTGAGGGAAGAAGTAACTAAGTAACTAGAATCTCTCTCTCTTCTTTCTTTCTCTCTCTCTCTTCTTTCTTTCTCCAGGGATTGAACCCAGGGTCACTTAACCACGGAACCATATCCCTAGCCATATCCCGTTTTATTTATTTTTTTCTTTTGAGACAGGGTCTTGCTAAGTTGCTTAGGGCCTTGTTAAATTGCTGAGTTTGACTTTGAGCTTGTGATCTCCTGCCTCAACCTCTCAAGCCATGGGATTATAGGTGTGCACCACCATGCATGGCTCTCTTCTTTATAAATAGTTTGTGGTGCCATGTTGGTACCTCAAAACCCTATGTCAGGTCTCTGAACTAGACTTGATGTCCTGAGAGTGAGTATGCTAACTTAATTCTCAGAGAGACTTAGTATTTTCAAAGCAAGAAACTAATGTTCATGTCCATCTAGTCATGTTTTGGAGAGAAGGGAAAGAGTGTTATTAGCACTGCCAAAGTCAAGACCTGTCAGATAGCTCTCATAGCTCATATCTCTCAATGATCTGAGCCCTCAGGCAGCTGTTTGTTGTAGATATTTCTACTGGGTACATTTTAGCAGCTATGGAGCAGAAATGAAAAATGTCCAAGGTCATTTAAAAGATGTAAAGATTTAAAATACTCTCCTRAGTATTTTACAAAAGCATTGGAGTTATTCTGGCAAATAGTTGACTCTATAAAATCAGAAGCATCATTATTTCCCTCTCTTTTTAAAAATCTAGATTTTTCTTTAATCCTTCTGATATTGAGAAGTTTTGTTCTACAACATACCAGAGAAGAACAGGGGCTGAGAAAATGAGAGAAAAAAGTAAACGGTGTTTACCAAATGGATTTCCCCCCACCTACAGAGAGCAACCTTCATGTAGGGAGCTAGAAATGACTCTTTTATAAAATTTAAGCAAAGAATTATTAAGGTCATATTTAGTTCAAAAAGGTAAAATCACACTGTCTTGAGTAGAGAGTGATTATAAGTAGCAGTGATTGCCATTTAGAGGTATGGTAGTAGYGTCACTAGATTGAGTGACTAAAGGTGAGAGAAACTTTCAGATTAGAGATAAATTTAGAAGGCATAATTGATAGTCTTGGTGACTGGCTGTAAAATAAGAGCTGAGAAAAAAAAAAGTGGTGTCCAGAATGACTCCTAGTTTTCTGATTTTTCAAAACCGTACTCTGGTATCACTGGAATAAGACACAATTTTTTGTTGTTGTTGTCTGTCTCTTGTTTGTTTGAGAAGAGGACAAGACCAAATAAATGGTGCATATGAAAATGATTTAAAACTTCAAAAAGTTATACAAGGAAAATTGGGGGACAATTTCCTTACTCAAATGAAGGACTGCAACGTATTTTAGAACGAAAGCCTTTCTGCTGCTACCAAGATGCTACTAGCATTCATGCTTTAGGTGTTCTTCCTTTCATAACAAAATAAATCATACCAGTTTTCCTTGGGCATCTTCTTCCATGAGGAATCCTATAAGTTCCAAGGATATAGCCATCCTTTGTCACAACATCATACTTTTCACAAGGATAACCCCAGTAAGAAATAATCTGGCTCTAGAACAGGGAAAGAAAAATACAAATTGTGATATAATCTCTTCCCTTTTTTTGCACACATTGAAATATAATAGTATTTTAAGTTTCAACTTCATGTTCATCAATCTATATGTTGGGACAGTATATGGTGGGGAAAATTAGGATGATTTAGGGGTTTCTAGAAGGGAYTGCAAAGGCATATAAGTAAGGCATGGTGGGATGACTCCACGTGCCGTTTTCTACATCCCAGACTGCTCAGGACAGTATGTAGTTATGCCTGCTGGCCTAGAATTATTAATACACACTATTAATAGTTCATTCTCAAAATGTTCTGATACAAATTTGTGTGGCCATCTAATGAATGAGACCACAGGATTGTGCAGTACCTAGTTGAGCAGAAAGGGCAACACTGAGGGAGATAGCTAGTTGAATTTGATTTTCACAGGGTTGAAGGTAGGGCAGTAAAAATACCTGACCTCATTCTCCCCTTTTTTATATATATCTTGTGCTTAAGATTTTCATTGGCAAATGGATCTGAAAATCAAAGATGAAGGGAGCTTTTCAACCTAGTCCTTATAGATCAGCCTCTTGGGCAAAGAGAAAGGTATTAAAGAACTGAGGTTGTTAGAAGGGTCAGTAGAAGATACCCAATCACAGATACACAAGAAAGGGAGTGCTGTGGGATATCTTCTACATAGAACTTTCTATGCCCTGTCTCATTAATCCTTACAAGAGACCTTTCAGATAGAATTGTACCRATTTTACAGTTGAGAAATGTGAAGTTCAGGAAGATTAGTGATTTGTCCAAGATTATAAACTGGGAAAAGATAAAAACGAGATTGATTATAGAAAAAAAATAATTTCAATTTCTTATAATAAAACCTATGCATTTGCCTCTTTCAGCACACAGATGTGTGCATAATTTATGAGGCTATCTAAAATAGAGGTTAAGAACCCAGATTCTGAAGAGAGACTATCTACCACTGAATTCCTGSTCTGCTTCTTATTAGCTGTTACTCTAGGAAAGTTACTTAATCTTTCTATGCTCATTTTACTGTTGAGATAATAATAGTATCTCCTCACACATATCTTGTGAGGATTATCTRTAATAGATGTAAGATAGTGTCTGGAACAAAGAAAGTTTTTTTTTTTAATGTTTGTTATTTTTACAATCATTATAAAAGGATGAAAAGCCAAAAAGCACTCAGGCTAGCAAGGAAAAATTGTGCTTTACTGTGGGAGGAAGAGGAAAACTTGAATTTGAGGACATACATTCATGGACTGTGAGTTTGGCAGTGTGGTAGGTCTAGGAAGCTACCATTAGATGGTAACTCAAACCACCAGGAGAGAGAATATTGCTGCTCCAATTTAGGTCACAACTCCTGGATTAGTTAGCCATGACAAGGAACTCRGGAGAAAGCACAGATTTAGGCACTGGGAGAATTGCTGAAAACCAGACCGTCACACCAATTGTAACTAAAGTGATGACTAATTAATAATTCCTTATCTTAATGGGCTTTTTCAATGCGTGACTTACAATATTCATATTAGCTTCAGGATTTGTGATGCTTCCTTTCTTACAACCATATATAGGTCCAAGAAGAAGCACCCAGCATGCTGTTGCTAAAAGCTGCCACATTTGGAATATGCCTGGGAAAGGAAATATTAACGGATTTGTCATCAAAGAGAAATTCTGCAAAATGAAATCTGGYGTATTCTTTTTATAATACTGTTTTATTTACACTACGATGGGAGAGAACAAAAAACATAWACTTCTAGGATATGCTTTAGCAAGTAACATACAGAATTATTCAGAAATCATTCCACGGAAAATTTTGTATGGAAGAAAGGAAGGAGTTGATAACATCTTTAATTCAGGGCTATATCGATTGGAAAAATAATAGGGACATTTTTAAAAGTCAGACTTCTCTCTCAGAGCATTGACAATTACATGTCCTGTTTCTGCTGAATGATTGGCATTTTGAGGCTTTGGAATCAGTTATTGACCAGATGATCTTGGTGTCCCTGGGGTAGAGCAGATCCTGCTCTCTTCTGAAATCTCCAAGTTAGAGAGCATGTGAGGACTTGTAATGGTGCAAGGGAAGAGGACTATGTAACTAGCACAGTATGCTGCTTGTAGGAAGAGCTGGAATCTCCCAGGGTGGCACCAGAAGGAACAGGTTGTTTTTTGTAGCCATGACGTAGAGCCCCAAAGCTACCTTTGTTTCAGTCTTCCAGGTAATGGGGCTGGATATAAAAGGGTGACACACCCAAGCCAGAGAAGTCTCCATGTGTTTCRTTTTGTAAGGAGGAGCAAGCCAAATCCAAAGAGCTTCTTTTCAGGCACCTCTTAACAGGGTGTGYTTCCCTGTTGGCCCAATCTAAGCCTTATATTATTAACCATAATTGTTGGGTAAGTCTGCCTGATTGAGGTACCTCTCCTTAATGATAACTCCAAGAGTCCTCATTTCTTTGGCCTGTTTCTATGACAGTTCTCTGATGAATATTGTCTTCTTCTGTGTCCCATGTTGACATAATGCTTGTTCTCACTAACATCTATAATAATATTACACTAAGAAAAAGAGGAGATATTATAATTTCCAGAAGATTTTCAGTTTTTAAAGATGAGACTATTGGTCTCAGATACCCACATTAAATCAATATAGGTTAACATAAATATAATCAATAATAGATATGTTGATCTATCACTCTAAATCAGCTTCACACTGCTGTTCTGTAAAACATGTCTCCAGTGGGTATTTATAAAAAGGCTTCATGTGTAATCTTAAGTGAAACTATATACAATTAATACAATTAACATATATTAATCTATGTTTGTATGTATATATTACATATATGACTTTATTAGAGAGTCATATATAAATGCTATAAGTATGACTTACAATTTTATTTGCTGTTATGATTTTATTGCTTGAATAACACCAATTAAACATATTATGACCTAGATTACCTAGGTCATAATATGTTTAATTGGTGTTATCAAAATTGTAATTAAACATATTATGACCTAGATTACCTAGGTCATAATATGTTTAATTACAATTTTGATATTTGTGTATTTCTCTCCTCACTATACCACATACACACAGAAATCTGTGTAATGCAGGGAAAGCTAAAAAAAGATGCAAATAGCTCCAACTCAGAACCTTGTCTTTCAAAAGTTTCTTCAGAAAGATACTGTTGTCCATGACCATGGATAGAGCTGCTACAGTCTTACCCAGATTTGGTTGCAAATGATAATATCAGGATATGGCTGTATGTATTTTCCCCTAGCTACTGAAGTCAGGGGTAATGATAAAACTTTCAAAACAATATTGTCTTATTGCATTTTTGGTTTCAAACTAAGTTTAAATATTTCACATCAAATGCTTGTGGCTTATATATAGGCAGCTCCCATAAGTAATGCATTTTACATTGACATGTATATTGATGATAATATCAAGGATACCAATTTCTCAACAAAGATTATCAGAAATAGAGACCTTCATTCCACACTTCTCATTACCCTATAATAGGAACTGTCAGGTTCATCAAGCAGACCTTCAACCAGAATTTATGCCCATGCTTASATAGTATATGTGATTAATCCACATCCTAATTCTCCACTATGGTCAGAAATGAGGGAGAGAGTTGGCTAGAATATGCAGGTACAAGCACCCTACAGGGAGCTCTAATGTGCTTTGGTTGGGAAAGGACATGAAGGCCAGTGTTTACATATGACTCTCTGATGAATCTGTTTGCTCAATGGCAACATAATGGCAATAATGAGTGGTTTTTGAAAAGTTTGGAGTTGAAATTCTGGCTCTGTCCTTCAGAGATTAAGTTAGTCATGAAAATATTGCTCTCAGATCCTTAACTGCAGGAAGCAGAACTGGACGTTACCCACAGCTCCTCTTCTCTCAAACCTATCACTTCTTCCACCAAAGCCACACACTGGAGACACTTTACAAGTATTGGCAATTACAGTTGTTGTTATTATTGTTAGTCAGGAGACTATCATTAGTCAATTTAACTTCCCTTGAAACTTAATTTCCTTATCTGTATCATTGTGATAGTATCACCTACCTATGGAGTTATCTCCAAATAATAAATAATGACACAGCGAATAAGATGACAATGTCTATAAAACATCTATGATATTTGACTCTGAATAAATGGTAGCTATTGTTATAACATATCTTGTATTATTTTAATAATGTTTGGCTCTGAATAATGGTGGCTATTGTYATATCTATCACTCAGTGATTCTTTCAGATGTGTATGTCTTGCTCTCCACCTCTRTCACAGGCTTCTTTAAAGGCAAGAACCACCTTCTATACTTTGCTTGCATTCATATTGTTCTTATCATTTGTGTCTCTAGCCTTCTTCATACAGCTTTGTCTTAACACAATTCTTTCAATTGAATTGTGAAAAATGACAGCATATTTTGTATCAACACTTCTCAGATATGAACATGTAAGAGCAGTTAAGAATTTGTTTTCATTACTTTGATAAATAATTTTCAATTTTGACTACATAGAATGCCCTACCTACTTAATCTATAATTTTTATACCATGGTTTGAGCATATACATGTTTAATCTTTGTAATTATTATTTTTTCCACAKATAGTAAATGTCAATTTAAAATTTTGGCAGGATCAATTTTACTCATTTTTTAACTCATTCTTACTCCCTCTAATAAAATTATTCTCAATAAATTAATTGATAGGAAATTCTTCAAAGTATTCTGCAAATAGACATTATAAAGCTCGGGCACAGTATAACTCATTAGAAGATTAAAACAGAGTAGCAGTTTTGTCTTAACAGATTTTAGTATTGAATTCTTATTCCTGACAAAATAGAAAATGAATTAGAGCCCAGAAATATGACAATATCTTTTGTATGCAGGTTAYTTGCCAAGAAAATAAAAGAAATTTAAAACAAAGCCAAAGACTATACTTTCAGGGATCATTTCCACAGTTGATCACTAAAACAAAGTCAATGCAAACATGACCAACAAAATGTGAGTAAAATGTGTGACATTTTCACAGCCCAAGGAAGTTATGAAAATTATGCATATATGTATTTATATATGTAATATAAATTATATATTTATAATCAAGTACAAAATTGTAAAAGGAAGCCAAGTGTAATATCAATAAAAGCCATGATCATCTCTCTTGTCATCAGTGACAGCAAACATTTTTGTTTCATCTTTTCTTGATCAGTCTGTTCAAAAAGATTGAAATAAGAACTCTCTATCCATAGGAAGAGAGTATGTGGGAGGTAGAAAACATGTAGTAGATAATCGTTTGGAGAAAAGGATAAAAGAYCCATTATTATTTATAAGGATAAAACATCCAATATTATTTATATGAATGTAGAGGCTAAGCAACTAGATGAAAGAGCCTCCTCTCCACCCTGAAGAGAGAAAAGTTAGAAAGAGGTGGAGGGAAGGAAGAAGGAAAAGGTAATGTAGGAAAAAAGTGAGGGGAAGGGAGGAAGGGAGGAATTATACAGAAAACAACAAAAGTGTACATAATTGTAAAAGGCCATCTGGGTGCTATTGTTTTATTTAACTACCTGACCTAATTATCTATGTTTGAGCCATTCCCTGTGTCTAGTTGTTGGTGAATAATACTCCCAGTAGACACAAAATGCACTTGAATTATTATTTCTCTGTATTTCTGAGATGTTAGCCATAAGCTTATGGCATCATACATTCAGCTTATTTTTCATTCTGTTTATCATATTACAAAGTATTTTMCCAGCTGTGCAAAGAGTGGGTGGAGTTTATTATCCTCTTCTTGACCATAATGTAGAATGAGAAGTTCCTGGGAATGGTGACAGAGCTTAGAGGAAGACTAAAAGGCAGAGATGAAGACCTACAGTTTGAGCCTTCCTTTTCCTATCATGGGGCCAAAATGTCATGCCGCCCTGAACAGCCTACTTAATAAGGCTGTTGCAGGTTTTGAAAGACCTCATGTTAAAAGGTAGCCTATTTAACTCATGAACAATTACAAAATCCAGGAATCTAAGGCAGGATGCATCTTCATTTTTAGGAAGACATAAGAGCAGGTGGATGCCTTTGCTGCGTTTCCAAATTCATACCAGTGGAGTTAAAAACCACGCCTGACCTCTCCTTTGATATCCCTTGAATGAATATATCTGGAAGCCCTTAGAAAATAATGGAAGCAGGCAGAAGGACATTCCCAAGGAATCTGGTATTCACAACCAGGTACTTCGCAGAGGCTTTGAGAATTTGTTCTTGAGTTTATTATTTAAAGAAACTAGCTGACAAAACAGATAAATCCCAAGGTCTCACAGGTGGAATCTCTCCTGCTGTCTCCTGGTTACCTGCCCCTTCCTGTGCTTCCCAGGTTTGACTCCCAGCTCCGTCATTTGCCAGCCACACCCACATGTCTCCACCTGCCCCCCACCTAGCAGCATGATGTGTTCTGTCCACCGAGCACTCTTCACCCCCAAACTCATTCCCTYAAGTAGCTCTCACTAACCACAGGCTTTCATACATTTTCTAGATGAAAAGTAAATACAAGTCCATGAGACCTACCTGTGGGTTATCTGGGCTCTCATCCCATATTTCCTTGAACCAAATCCACTTAAATTTCTTTTTGGAA